TTTTTTTTTATTTTTTTTCTCTAAGTGAGTTAATCGTTTTCTCCCATTTGACACAAAAGTAATTGGAAAAATGCCCCGAGGTTTCCTTTGCCATGTGTGCAGTAGTCGTATGCTGGGAGTTCCGAGTCGCTACATGTAACGCCCCATTCAGATTTGCACTCTCGAATTAAGCTCAAGTGTGTACGCGTACGTTTCATCCCTTGGACCATGTGATGATAAAAGAGGTATGAGAAGTGGAAGTAACCGGCTGGGGTGTGTGCAATACACATGCATGCAGTGTGTGTAAATTAGGGGCACACACTTTTGTGTTACTCGGAGCCCGTACGTATTCCCCCGCCCCTTGGTTAACACACGTCCAAATTTCATCTAATCTTAAAGCACCTAGTTTTAACCCCGCCTCCGCTAGCGGACAAAGTTTTAACGAAATATATATATATTTATTTTTTTGTTCGTTACTTAAATTGCGCGTTTTTAACGAAATGGGAAAATCAAACAGTGAAGAGCAAAAGCCATTGCGCATGCACATCGGCACGCAGTTACCCCCTTTACGTGAAAGGTGTGAGGAGGCTCACGCGGAGGGAAGCACTCTCCCCAGAGTGAGTTGTTAAAATGCTTTTGAAAAAAAAAAAAAATAAAACCCCCTTTGCGTGAAAACTGTAAGAGGTTATCAAATGCCATCTGTAAATCTTTCACAAAAATAAATAAAAAAATAAAAATAAAATAAAAAATTAATAAATAATGATAGACAAAAATTGGTACGTACTCGCAAAGGCTTTCACTTGACGGAGAAAAAAGCACCTCTCCGAATGGCACATGCTGGGTTAGGAAACTCCAGGTATGGGACCCCTCACACGATAATCAATTTTTACTTTGCTCCATTTTAACCCTCTCTTCCCTTTCACTCTTGCCTTTGACTATTCCCTTTTCCTGGACGGCTTTAAATGGTGAAATGTTCCGATCGATTTAAATGGTTTCAATTATGTTCTTGGCTTCGGTTCCCCGGATTGACTCGCCCTTTGTTGCCAATCCACCTTCCGGTTCTCACAGCCCCACGAATGATCCAATTCTCCAGTTGGGATTTTCCTACCACTTCCTGGAGTAATTCCCCCCCCCCACATTTGATCTCAACCAAGTACTCGTAAAGACTAGTCCCTCCCCCCGCAAAAAAAAAGGGGGCGATTTCCCTCCTTAGCGTTAGGTTAAATGATGCTGGATGTTACACCCATTGGTACATTAGTAGGTGTTTATATCATAAGCAGGGCAACATTACGTTGACGCCTTTTTCTCTCCCCTGTGCATATTTAACCCCCCCCCCACAGTTGACTTCCTCTCGGTAGTTATTTTTGTTGAGCAGTACATTATCTTTTCTGATGTCACCTCTCTTTTACTTTCCCACTTGAATTTTCCATCCTCTCTCCTTTTGGGCTATGAAGCCATGCTGTCCCTACATTTGTCATTCATCACTTGGCACTTGACCAGGTGCGTAATGTTCATCCCCTTCTTCCTAAAGTGCTCCGCTTATCCTCGGACGAGTCGGCAGCATTAGGAGTGCAAAGCCCTTTACCATTCGCCTTTTCGGGGTGAACCCTATCGGAGCGCGCCCGCATCAGAGTGTACCCCACGGCTAAAACCGCAAATGTGTTTAGGTCTCATTCTTAATTGTTCCAAATTAATCATTCAGTCCTGCTCTCCGTTGTCCCTGTCAATACTAGCATCTCTCGAGTTACTGTTTACAAATTGCATCCACTCGGAGCCTACACCCAAGTTGGTGTCATACGCACTTGCGTTGCTACTTGACGAGTCTGGCAAAACCAACCCTCTCCTCTTCAGTACCCACTGATTCGCATTCTGCATGCACACTGCTGGGTTCCGCATTTTCCTTCGCAGAGTAAAAACTGATTCACCCCCGTGTTTTTGTAACAATTTCACAAGGTTGTGAAAGACGTCCATTTCGCTACCCATGGGATGCTCCTCCAAAGTCCCACTTCTGTCTACCTTCTTTAAAAGCTGGCAATATATTTTTAGGTCCCTTTTCATGGAGTTGTTTAATTCCTCCTGCGTGATTAGCACTTTTCTTCCGCCCGGAGTAACCTTGTAAACCCATTTTAGTACTCGGTCTATGGTTCTCCAGAGCTGGAATTCCTCCAATGCTTCCCCCGAGCATCCCTCTAACTGATTATCATTTCCCATGGAGGGAATGTCTGCATCCTCTTCTGAGTCATTTTCCCCCGAAAAGAAATCATAGCCCTCGTCATCCGGGCCATCATTATTTTCTGCTAGGGTTCTCCTATACCACTTCGTCCCACTTGCATCACTCTTTGCTGCAGAACGGGCAGAGGGGGGCATACAGCACATGTGCACATACATATTTATGAATAGATAAACCACAAATGGTGCACTCATTCAAGTGGGTCTTGTGCGGAAACACTTCTTACTTGCTGTGAGGGGCTCCACGGGCAGGTACACATTCCAGGTAAGCGGTAAAGCGTTATGTTCGAGATAGGTCAGCATATTAAATGCTCCTGCTTTGGAGTCTTCCATTGTAACGTGGATATAAGACTGGGGGGTGAAAAGGAATTCCATTTCTGCCCCACACATTCTGTTAATGTTCACCCCGATTGTTTTTTTCAACACTTGTGCATTCACTTTGGAATAGTTTGCTTGACCTGTTCCTTCGGATGGTTTTCTATTTTTAGAAGATGCCCTATGAATAGCAGGTGCAGGACCATGTCCCGTTTGGCATTTGCCTGGACAGTTATCTGATCTTTCATCTGTAGTGATTAACCTTTTCTGTTCTGAAGCGCCCTGTGTGAGTATATATCCGTTTGATGCTTTCCCCCATATTATGCTTCCAGGGGTGGACTCCGCATTTACAAAGCCTTGCGCATTATGCCTCAACACAGCACCTGCGTTAAAACGTTTTAGTAAAAAAAAAAAGGGGAAGGGATGAGCATTTAGCGGCGGGATTATCTTTATTGGATTAAAAAATAAAAGTGGCACCTTTTGGAGGTACCTATGATGGGGACCCTCTCACTAGTGCGTCTTAACGCTGTTATATTGAATAGGTACCCAATTTTTGGACTCTCTTTTTACTCTTCGAGGTGGTAATATTTTCTTACTTGGAATGAAGAGTAGCGTTACAAGGGACTTCATCTTGTTCTGAGCAGTAGGCTATTCCCGATCTTGTTCTGCAATGACTTGTTGCTCTTGTTTTATTTTTCTTTTTTAATTTTTTTTTTTTTTTTTTTTTTTTCCT